TCAGTTTTTTGACAGAGTGACTTTAATATATCCGTTATTTAACCCATACAACATCTGATTGACATTAAAAATGTATTTTTTAAGACCGATCCGGCCAAAGGATAGCAGAAATATAACAATAGATCTATAAAGATATTTTAAATTTTACACGAATCGTTCAATGATTACTTGGTCATGAATGCTTGAGCTTTGACAAAGAATCGCACACTTGTTGGAAAGTGACGCAAACAGAAGCCAGCGCGAGACCACAGGAGAAGCGGGAGTTGCGCTACAGTCTCGAGCTACAAAAACAGTGATTGTGCGTTAAGTTGAGACAAAGTCCAGCAGTTTTTCAGCTCGAAGCTCTCAGAGCTGTTTTCAGTGAGCTGCTTCTGCTTGTTGAAGCATGACTGAGACAGAGTTATACACGCTGTACAAAGGCGTCTATGTGCCTTCAAGGCTCCATCCGCCCGAGAGCCTCAGGTACTACGAGGAGTTTGCGTTTCGTCCGGATGACATCCTTATTGTAACGTACCCCAAGTCTGGTGAGTGATCGCGGTTCGACTGCAAATGGTTTCTTTTATGCTAAAGAGGGGTTTGTTTCAGTAGGCTGGAAGAGGATTTTTCAACCTGTCGTTTTCTTATCATAAGCAGCAATAACACTATATAATCGTCCTGGCGTTGGTCTAACACGTCGTTTAAAACAAGGATTGCTCTTAGTTTCCATTTTATGCGACCACGTTAATGGTATGTATTTAGCATTAAATTTCATTGTGGGGTTTATTTTAAATGTGGGAACCTTGTTGGAAAGCTCTCATCCCCGACTGTCCGTTGAGTCTCCGGCAGAAACAGGTCTGTCAATGCCCGGCGTCTAAATGCAATTCACTCCAAACCTGAGAACCTCATTTCTCTGGATCACAGTGACCGTCTGCCACAAAGTTATTGACGATGCTTCCATGTATATTTATGCCTAATGTCTTTGAGTTGACTACAGTCTATAGAAGCAATGTATGAGGGTTATAAAATACATAAATTACCTGTTTTATACACTGTTAGAAAAAGCATCTTGAAAAAATGGTAATATTCCGGCAGCTGGGGCGCCAAAATACGACCGTATAATTACAGAAAACAACTCCCGCATAAAAATACGGTTATTTCCAGTAATGAAAATACAATTAGTTGCGCTAATTTGACATGGGATTCTGCCTTTTCCAAGTGCTTTTAGACATTAAATTAGGAACATTTGTACGCGATCAAACAATGAAATTACCTATAAACAAGGTCACTGAATGTGGAAATATGAATCATAATACGTAAATGTACAGAAATATACAGTTAACAGTTGGTTTAAATAATAATTGATTGCATGCCCTGGGACAGACTGACAGAGGCGAGGCTGCCATCACTAGTAGGCGGTAGGTGAAGAGTCTTGACCACGGACACAACGACGGAGAGTGTCCGAGCCGGGGCGCGAACCGGCAATCTTCTGATCACAAGGCGAACTGCCAACTCTTGAGCCCCGAACGCCCTAACTAGTAATGATAATAATACTTATGTGATGAAACACAAGCTTATAGGGATCGTGTTATATACTTTTCCATAGCATTACATTTGAATTCAACAGTTCAATCTTTCAAATAACGGACAGATATTTGTGAGATCATGATACATTTGTGAATGTATTTTAACAATCTAAATATGCATATGCACAGACAGATACATTTAATAATCATGACAATTATGTTGTATTACATTACAGTGATTTAACGTTAATTTACATTCAAAATGTGAAGTCAAAGTCTATTTACATAACTTTAATGATGTTCTAGAAGAACAGAACATTACTGTAAAATGCAGTAAAATACCTTCATATTAGGGTTTTTCCTACGGTCGCAGCCATACCCACAACCTTGTTGTTAGTTCACATTCATTGGCCGATGCTTAGCATCATGTTATTTATATTAATTGCAATTCCTACCTCTACATTTCTTTTTCAAAATATATAATTAGCACAGCGCGTCCGTGCAATGTTTTACATTGTGGCATGCAGAGAAATCTTAACCCCAAGCTGGTAGGGGAGCTCTTTATTAAAACACTTGTGGTGCAATGTGCCTCAAGGTTCAACAACAGCACAACAGAAGTCACTCATGGTACAGCACTCTCTCTACAAAACAACTGTCAGTGACGCTGCACCACGGCGTAAACACAACATTCAAGATAACAGTTTAAAGTAACGTAACCATAAACAATGAAACAAGAACATCTAAACAGCAGCACATGTCCCAAAGCATGATGGGAGACACTTCTGGATGTATTTTTACGATCTAAATATGCATATGTACAAAAAACTTTATTTAACAAACAAGTAAATTGTGTTTTATTACATTTACAGTGATGTTATGTTATTTTACATTTGACATGTCAGATCACAGTCTACTTATGTAAATGTAATGATGTTCTAGAAAAACAGTACACAACTGTAAACTACACAGTAAAATAATTTGACATTACTATTTTTTGGAACAGTGTAATACAGTTACCGTGGCACAGAGCAGCTGTACCTGTATTAGTGCATTATACCTGCATCCTTTCTTCATGTTATGTACAAACCCCTCGTAAAAATAATTTCAGTACATTCTATTTATCAAGATGAGCAATAACATAAAAAAAAATCACAGAACCACTTTTTGGCTGGTATTTCTGAAGAGACGGACCCTATATACCCTATGAATGTGCTGTGTGGTACTAAGGCTCAAAAATGTCTTCTGGCACTTTTCTTTATGTTTTTGTTAAAGGTGCTGTGACAATAGATATGACTTTACATGCTACTTGCCCTTTTAACACAATGAATCACGTCCGGTTGATTTTTAGTCATAAAGCCACAGACAGCAGAGCTTTTCTACCAGCAGCTGGGGGTGGCTGTAGCTCAGCTAGTAGAGCAGGTCACCTAATGATCAGAAGGTTGGTGGTTTGATCCCCGGCTCCTCCAGTCTGCATATCAAGTATCCATAGGCAAGATGTTAACTCCTGCTAACTAACCAGTTGCTCTCTGATGCGTCCATCAGTGTGAATGTAGTTAGAGTGCTTGTGAGAATAGGTGAATGTAGTATGTTGTATAGAGTGCTTTGAGCACTCTTGGGGAGTACGATATAAGAATCAGTGTATTTACAACTTAAAATGTGATGTTCAGTACCAGAATGGTGTTTTTTACTTGCAAAAACAGAGGAATACAAGTGAAGTTTTATTAGAGTTTGGACATATTTTCTACAAAGTATTTGTGAACACCAAAAACAATCAGCAGGCGATGGATGGATTTAAAAGGACAGACAGGAAGTGGACTAGATCAGCTCTGTCTTAGACAGGGACTTTAGCTTGGATAAAATTAAAAAAGTTAAATAAATACAGTGCTAACTGAAGAAAATGGATGGCTTATTGTAGTTTTAGTTTAAGCTTTCTCATTATTACAAGAGAAGAATGCATATTTAGGGAACTGTGTACAACTGGTTCATTGTCAAGCCAGCATTCAGTTTTGCTAGAATGGCAGGACAGATCTGAGCAGCACAAACGAAACTTTTTGCAGCACAAACCAGCACAAATGTTTGACATCAACTTTTTTAAATTTGACACTCAAGTTTGCCAGTGTCATGAAATGAGGTGAGCGAGTTTCTGCTGACTACTGTGGGCCTATAGTAAATATTTGAATACTGCATTAAGCTCGCTTTGTACAGAAAGATCTTTTAGTAACAGACTCGTGAGTAGAACATAAAATGCCCACAGACTGTCCGGACCATACTATGCACAATCACAAGGTAAGGCAAACAAGTGAAACATATATCTGGTCTACTACATTAAGGTGAAAGATTCTGGAACTCGCTCATTTCTAAACCCTGGTTATTGTCACGGTTCTGGGTCTGGGGACGCAGGGTTTATGTTTTCTGGTTTTTGAATATTCTTTGATTTAGTGTTATTCATGTAATAGTCTTTGTATTTCTTGTTTCTTAGTTATTTTCTGTAGTTTCTATGATTTAGGTTGTGTTTATGCCTTTGCTGTATTCCACATTTCATATCTAGTCACCCTTTTCTCTATGTTCATGCAGCTCCTCTGTCCAGACTATGTTCCCTCCTTCTCCCTAGTCAGTCATATCTCCTGGTCTCAGTGTCAAATCCACGTCATACGTTCACACCGATCATGCTATGACAGTGTGAACGGCACAAATCCGATATTTTCAAATCCGATCTGGGTCACTTATGTGGTACTGAATCCGATACATATCCGATGTTTCAGAAAGCGACTGCTGTTTGAACGGTCAAGTCGCATTAAATCCGTCTTTTACGTCACTGACACAAGACAGACGCCAATTATCAGCGCCGGAGAAGCGCCCGATAAGACATCGCGAATGCTTCCTGGCCATCCGGTGAAACTGCTGGGAAGACAACGTTGGAGAAACGTGAACATTTTATTTGTACTGTATAATCTGCAGATTCTGACAGAAATCTGCAACTATCCTTTGAAGCAACGCTCCTCTAAAACAGCAATAAGGATAATTATTAGGTTATTTACATTATTATGGAAATAACAAAATTGGGAAACGTGAAGTCCGAAGTATTTATATTAAGGGCCATCAGTCAAACAATAGTTTGCTCTGGGTCTAAACAGAGCGCGTTGTGTGTGACGTCTTCTTTTGCGCATGCGGGCCGCTTTGAGCGTTCACACTAGAGCGCGTTTGCTGTCGCATTTTATTTGTAGTGTCAACAAGCAGACAAAAAAATCGGATTTGATCAAAAAATCGGAATTGAGCATTAAGACCTGCAGTGTGAACGTAGCCTTAGTCTGTGTCTCATGTTTCCTGGATTATTTTGATAGGTCCTTGTGTAGTGCTTGCTTAGTGTGTTTAGGTTTGCTTCCTCCCTGTCTCGTTATGTTTGAGTACTCCCAGCTGTGCTGTCCTCCCGTGTCTCATTCCCTCATTATCCCTTTGTGTATTTAAGCCATTTGTCTTCCTCTGTTTGCTGCCGGATTATCTGCGTATCTCCCCTTGTGTGTCTATGTCTCGCGTTTCCCATTCTCCAGGTTTCCATGTCTCAGGTGCTCAGGTCTTTAGTTTCTTTGTACTTGTTTTTAAGGTTTCTCCCAGTTTAGGTTTCGCTAATTTAGTCATTGTCACATTTGGCTTTGTTTGACTTCTGCTCCGCCATAACAAAGGCTCACTTTCAGTTCAAGTTCTGTTCCATCTCCAATGCTTGCGTTTGGGTCCTCTCACTCATAAGGAATACCGTCGTGGTCATAAAGATTGTAGCTAGCCGGCTACAAAGCCTGGTTTCCGGCTTCCTCTTTGTAGTGGACTTTCTCCGACCTTTGATTACGTTTCTCCTGAGCCTGGAAATTTAAAGTCTGTGTTTTCAGAAACAGAATCATCTGCTCTAAGGACTTAAAGAACTGTGTTACTCCCACTCCTCCCTGTGCTCACTCCTCCCTGGTCTGGAATAATAATTCCAAAGATTGTTTATTCTGAGACTGCGTGACTGTGAAACTGGGCTCCTCAGAAACTGAAACTCCCCTCAGAGGCTGAGCCTGTGACCTCAGCTGGCTCTGCACTCCTGGAGGCAGTGCAGCCTTCTTCTCCTCCTCCGTCAGCTGGGAGCTAGGCGAGTTCATCCAGCCAGCCATCCCGATCAGATTGCATGGGCTGCGCAGCCCCAGCTGCTGCATCCTGAGCCAGCTGTGTGCCCTGCACAGCTCCAGATAGCTCTGCTTCAGCCAGAGGTTTCTGCACCTGCTGGCCCTGTTTCGCCTCAGCCGAGCCCCTGCAGCCTCCTGTTTCAGCTGGAGGCTCACATGAGCCCGCTCAGCCATTGCCTGCCTCAAGTCGCACCATACAGTTTATACCACAACAATAAAATGTATTATTATGACTATCTTCTTCAGTCCTGCTGTCTCCCTGCCGGATCTTCTCCTCTTTCCGTCCTCGTCTGACCTCACCTCGTATCTGCTCCTCTTCCTGCAATAACAGAAGACGCCTCCCTGACTAGCCTTGATTATTAATATTATGCTACTGATTCTATTTATTATTTAAGTTTGGGAAATTCTGTTCGGACACCCTCAGCCCAGTATGATGTGTAAGCGTGTTGCAAAAACCCTCTGCACTCTACATGTTAATCAAGATAATTCAATTCAGTCGAACCGCTGAGCTCTAATATTGGGAGGCCCAAATAAAAGCTAAATCAAAACATGAGATTGTTTCTTTTTTGTAGGTACGACATGGATGCAGGAGATGCTCCCTCTCATCATCAGCGGAGGGGATCCGGCCTCCGTTGAGACTCTCCACAACTGGGACCGTGTTCCATGGCTGGAGGAGAATCGAGCCCTTACCCTCAACCTTGAAAAGAGGCCGTCTCCACGCATGTTTACAACTCACTTCCACTACAGCATGATGCCGCCATCCTTCTTTGAAGTTAAACCAAAGGTAGGTCTGCCACATAGTTTGGTTTGTGGGTCATTAAAGCTGTTAATTCAAATGTGAAATGGGATGTTTTATGGGTCTCTTTAATTCCTGCTATAGAGTAGCAGCTTCTCCTCCTTAATAATAAATAATTGGCATAGATATGCTGGGATTCATCCAGGCATAATCTAAATTGAGTGGTTTAAAACATGAATGTAGCACAGGCAGCCAACATAAGAATACTTGTAAAAGACATGCAATGGCGTGTCCAGCGGGGTGGCCTGGGGGGGCACAGGCCACCCCCCAAACCAGACTGGCCACCCCAGGTGCCACCCCAAAGGCAAAACAATAAAATTCAATCAAATATCAAATGTCCGATTATGTTTTCACGGTGACGCTCAGATATAGGAGTGTAAGTGAATGCAGCATCGCTTCTGCGCTATGCGCATCACGTTAGCAAAGGTAGGAGAGCCAAGCGCGAAAGACGGCACTGCAGGAAACAATTTTTCGGTGAAAGAAAATGAGGACAGAATAAATGTCCCGGTAAGTAATATCAAGTTTGTTGAGTTTAGTAAACTTCGGTGAAATTAGAATGCCAAGGAAAAAATAACACTTAAAGAATTATTGCAGCCGTCGAATATTTCAGACAGTATGCTACTGAGGGCAGCTAACATAAGAGTTATGAGTTATAAAATATAATCTAAGTCGTAACATTGCTGTATGGAGCTGCAGATTTGGTTGCAGGTTAACATAGCTGGACTGGCCATCGGGCATACCGGGCATATCCCCAGTGACTTATTTTTTATTTTTTTTGTAATGGCATGAACAATGAGAGGTGGTGGATTGGCCAGATGCAGGTCGATGTGTAGAAATAATCCGTTGTTTGGTGGTGGCTATGACGGGGCTTCCGCAGAGGCAACAGGTGGATGAGGGAAGGGGAGGCAGGAGAAGAGACCCGAAGCAGCCGCCAGTCCGAGTGTCAGGTGTACTGAACTTCAGGTAAGAAGTTATGACCTGCAGTCTCTCTGGGTCAGATATAAACCAAGTTTAGGTGGAGTTTATTTTCATGTTGCTGACTTTTTACTGTCAGTTGCAATAACTCATACTGCGTTCTAGCCAGTTTGACGGAGTTTTTATACAGCTGGGTGGGTGCTATGATGTTACTGATAGTGAACTTTATTTTATTCATAAGGTTAGTTAGTAGAGTTGCCAACGGCTCCTTAAAAAATGGAATGGTCCCTCAATCAGAGAAAATATTACGCGTTTCGTATTGAGCTGAGAAGAGACGCAGTTTGTCCCGGACTTTAGCTAGGATGGAAAAAAGACACAAAGCTGGATTTATTCTGTCCTTACGCTGCACAGCTGCCTCTTCTCCTCTCATTCTCTCCCCCTCCCTCTCCTGTTTCTACTTCAATCATGAAACTGATCAATGATCAGCTGATCGGCTTTTCTCTCTTGTTTGTTTATCGCCCACTTTGCGCCAGAAAGAGGAAACCAGCGGATATTGCGCTAAACAACAGCAGCACGTTTAAGCTTGATCAGCTGTTGTTAGAATGTATTTAATATTAATTTCTAGTATCAGCTGATGTTTGCTGGAGCCACAGCTGTAAAGCTGCTGGTCATGATGTCTGTTTAGATATGTGGTGAGAGGGAAACGTGAAGACCACCCACCAGGATCCTTTTTTATGTAGCTGACAGCTGGTAACTGTGCAGGGGCGGGTCTAGCAAAGTTTTGCCAGGGGGCCAGGTAGGGCATTAACAGGGAAAGGTGGGCACAAAGAAATACTTTTCTTTCTTATTCTCATTTAAAATACCTAGCTTTTATTAAATAATTATCTAAATCTTACAACCAAAGTTTTTATCTGACGTAAAATGTATAGAAATCATACATATACCAACAAGACTGTACATCACTGTCACAACAGCATTTGTTTTCATTCAAAGGCTTTATGGCTTTACTACCTGGTGGGTCAGTCTGTAGTAAAAATGCCCAATTTTTCTGTCCCAGTCCAGCCCTGCAGGTTAATACTGGCAGTGTCACCATGCCAGCTGACTGTATTTTATCATCAGCCAGTGTTGTTCTTTATCAATATTACCAAAGTTTACCATAAGGCAGCATAGAAAGTATTTACTTGCTTTCAGGTTTTATTCAAATGTTAGTCTTTTCATTTGTTTCCCCACTTTTTTCCTGTTTCAAAATCAAACACCAGTTTGTGAGAAGATTATCTTCTTTTTTTAACAGGCAGATAAAGTTTTGCATTGGCATTGGCTAATTTGTCAATTGTTTGTTACAAATGTTCGTATTTTAATTTTCAAAAATGTTTTTGCCCAAAACATATGTGCACTATATGTAAAAATACTATGCAAATATTGCTGTCCTTGAATGCTGAGTAAGCACTGACAAAGCACTGATTGTATCTCTTGTACTTTATCAACGCAGTATCTAAAAACTTTGCACCGTAGTGGTTAAAATCTCATTCTAATAAGAGTTAAAAGTGCATTTGGTTATTAGGTTTATAGGATTATTGAATTATGGTTAAGGGTTGGTAGAATTTTTTTTTTTAAACATTATCTGCCAATTAAATCTGCCACCCTTCTCCAAATCTGTGCCCCTACCTGGCCCCCCCAACAAAAATTTTCTAGACACGCCACTGAAGACATGTAGCCAACAGCCCCTAATATTAGCCTGATAAAACACTGAGTATACAACTTGTCAGAGAAAAATGTGAAAGTCTTTGTCAGGTTTCCTCCGCACAGAAAACTGATGTGGAAAGAAAATGAAGTAACTGAAAGAACATTACAACACAATTTAAAAGACACAACAACAAGAACAGAGGATTTGTCATTACTCACCACTGACAGCTTCTTATGAGACCTCAGGCTATTACTTAGTAGTTCCTATAAGAAATACAGGGTTTGTATTCTGCTGTGCCTGTGTCCAAGTGTCTGGCATGGCAAAGTAAGCAACCATACAAAAAAAATCACCAGTGAGAAGGTCTGTGATTGCATGTGAAGGACAGGTTATGAACTCAAAGTGCTTTGTCTGTGTAATACATACATTGTAGTTTTATTTGGTCATAGAGCTACAAACTTAAATGTTGAATGTTTAAAGTGAAGTAATGATTTGTCATTACTCCAGGTCATCTATGTCATGAGGAACCCCAAAGATGTGTTTACGTCTGCTTTTCACTATTTCGGGTCAACTTCGTTCCTGGTGAAACCAGGCCCACAGAGCGAGTTCCTCCAGAAGTTCCTAGATGGAGAAGGTTGTTCTTTTTTTTTACTCTGTATTAGAACAGCAGGTGACATTTAGCCTTTTATTCAGTTGTATTTTACAACTGGTAACAAGAGGAATAAGGATTGATGAAGTTGAACCATTAATGCAGAGACGTTTGCTATTGTATTCATAATAACTCAAAGGGAATCTTTTCTTTTTCTTTCAGTTATATTTGGTTCCTGGTTTGACCATGTGAAGGGTTGGCTCAATGCTAAAGATAAGGAGTCCATCATGTACATCTCCTATGAAGAACTTTTAAAGGTGAGAACAACTGCAAATGCTTTCCAAATAATTTAAACACGAAAAAAAGAGTCAAACACTGAGATTCGTGGTAAGAACATGAGCTGAACGGTGTTTGTCTGCACGGTGCAGGACCTGAAGGACTCTGTGGCCAGAATCGCTCAGTTCATGGAGAAATCTCTGGATACTGGAGTAATAGAGAAGATAGCAGACCGATGCTTGTTCAAGAACATGAAGAAAAACAGCATGTCGAACTACTCGGCTGTTCCTAAAGAAATCATGGACCAGAGCAAGTCTGAATTCCTCAGGAAAGGTGTGTTTTTGTAATACTACTGAGAATGGTTACTGCACCCAACCCCTCTCCCCCCGTCAAACCCCCCCGAAGTATGTTGGTTTTGAAGCTGTACTGTATGGTGAAATAGCATGAGTTATATCTCTTATCCACCCCCCTATAACTTCGACTGGCATGTCTAAACAGGACTCTGGGAGGAGGTGAATGTGGATGTAGGTTTTAAAATGAAAGTATGCAGGCAGGAAAATGTTGGAGTACCTTGGATTATTGGTAATTTTTTTTGTCCTTGTGTTCCTCCTTTGCATCACCGACCCAGCGCTCTTTTATCAGACTTTTAAAGGTTCTAATTGGTGCAGAAAAAGTTTTGACTCTGTGTTTGCACCTGGACGTGATACCTAGGTTTTAGAAATGAACCAAGAACTTTCTAAATGATCACCTGAGATAGGGTTTGGATTTTTAGCTTATAAGCCTGGTAATAGTACGTAAGGAACTGAGAAAAACTGTAACAGAATTTTACATTTACAACCTAAAATAATAGACACAACAGTTCCTTCAATTTAGGTTTAATTCTTCTCTGTGTGTTGTGTTTCAGGAATTGCTGGAGACTGGAAGAATCAGCTAACAGAGGCAGAAGCAGAATGCTTTGATGCTGTTTACAAAGACAAAATGAAAGATGTCAAATATAAATTTGTTTGGGATTAAAAGACTAAATGAAAGTCATTTCATCATAGAATTAGAGAAACAAAGTAGAGCATTAAATGGTTTGTTGATATGTATTCATGACGTAATTTCGTAGTTATCAACATAAAACTGGTAACAGCATTCTGATTGGTGCAAAACCAAAATCAGCTCTGTTTAAGTGAAACCCTGGTGGAGTGAGGGAGTTGTCAGGGTCGATGTCAGTGATGATGTTGAAAGAGTCCGCGAAATAATTTTCCACTAGGCTAGAGAACTGTGAAACTTAAAATATCCAATGTCACTGAATGAGAGTGGCAATAGGACCAGTAAAATGTAACATGTATTTGTTTGTTCTATGCCATTTTGTTTTCTGCTTCCAAACTTTCAAATGATGTACTTTTAACTCAATACCATTTATATTAACTCTTAAGTTGCTTATTCTACAGATTTTAAAGCATAAAATGTGATAAAAAGCTATATTGTTACAGATAAAGCTACCCCCTGATGCACAAGTAATTAAAAGCATGTGATATAAACATTCAAAAATTATGATCTAGTAATATAGTGCATATATTCTGCATAATTAAAGTATATTCTAATGCTCAAACATTTGTTCCATTACTTAAGTAGATTTATGCCTTTATTCAATATGAAACAGTTTTTACATTTGGGTGCAATGCCACTTTACATATAATACTTTTGCATACGCACACAGGTCTGCACAAGTATGCAAGTTTTCCTGTGCTGTGTGTTTTTCTGGTCAAATGCTCTGAAGTGTCACAAGGAGTTATGCTACCCTCTGTAGCTCAGATCGTACATCTTGTCTGTTAAAGTGGTCACTATGCCAGATTAAAGCCCTAAAATCTTGCCTAAGTCATGTTTGTTAAATGTTACTACATGTACAATATTGTTAGAAAGAATGTACAAGCTAGCAGTGTATGGGACATCAATGATAACGTGGTGTAAATCATAATTGAGTTCAATGCAATGTTACATCACCAGTCATCTGAAGGCTGTTACGTCCCCTGGCTAGTCTAGGGGGTTGAAGGGACAAACATAAAGGTGGATGGAGAAGGAGGAGCCAAGATGGTAATTTTAGAAGGTTTATTTAATACTGGTGATGGGATTTGGGGTCAGACTGAGGTATAACGTCAGGGAGAGCCAAGGCCAACATAACAAACAAAACATCCCTGATGTAGAAATAAAAGAAACTTACCTAACTCCAAAGAAACAACATATACAACCTATAACCATAACCTACCTAACAACACATAAACAGGAGAAAACAGGTTGTCAAAACAAAAGGCAGCTCTCCCCTACAAGCCGTCTGAACATGAAAACAACAATGCTCATACAAGATCCAAAGGCATGCAAGCCTGCACAGGTATGGCAACCAAAATAGCCAGAAGGCACAGAAGCACAGCTCCACAGACCTTAAATAGTGCTCTGCTGATTACCAATTAGCCGGACTCTGCGCAGCATCCAATCGGGACAGAGGAGGTGGAGCCTGGACAAAACAAAGGGTTAGTAGGGAGAAGAGACATCCTCCTGGGGGATGTAACAAGGCACTTTAGATTATAAGGTAAAGATCATTCAGTATAAGACAGAAAACAGCAACAATCAGACTATCCCTTATGAAAAAGCCCTTGGAGAGAGTGGGAAGGAAGAACTATTTAAGCATGAAAATACATCTTGCAGAACCGGACTCAGTCTTCTGCCATGACGGGCTGTGAAGTGACCATAAAGACACAGAGTAAAACAAAATGTATGAGAAGATAAAACCAGTGACGGTTAATGGTGTCATACTGATTATCATGTTTGCTTTCACAGCAGTGGGATTGCTGAGCCTCACAGAAAAGAAGGTACTGTCAAGAAAGAATTAGCAGACCCAAAATGATCTGCTTCTTTAGCTTGCTATTTAACCTTCAGTAGCAAGCTGCAAACCTTAACTAAGCAATCATTATGAAGTCATTTGGGCTCATAAACCAATAAACCAGGGTTTTTTTGTGTGTGGTTCTGAACAGACAGCCTTTGAAAGGTCATGCTGTAAAAGCTGGCTGTAACTGAACGCAAGATTGTTCCATAATTGTTTGTAGTTGTCTGAATCACTACTGCAAATCCTTTTTCTAATAACTAAGTGCAGGGTGGAGTTTAGAAAGAAATCTATATCTGTAAAATTCTTTCTTTGTCAAAACGTGAACTCTTTGCTCTTTCACGTGGGTGCGTAGGGAAAGAATTTACTTAAACTAATCATAAGTAACGATTATGGAATGCCTCTTTCCCCCCCATAGTTTCCACCGCTTTTCTTTTCTTGTTTCAAATGTAACAGATTGCAATCTTTGTAAATATGTAACTATTTAATGACTTAATTTTTTGTATTTCCGTTTACTCACACTTGCAAAATCTTTCCTCTGCTCCACTTAAAGTCAGAGGAAAACTACTGTGCTTTGTCCTGCAGTACACAGTCCTTTTGCTATTTTGCAAAGAACAGTTGTCCAATTAGCGCCTCATTCTATGTCACACCAGTTTTTACAGTGTAATGTCCCTGATGACACATTCTGCTTGCGTTTCAGGGTGACACTGATGTGGTTTCCATTTCCCAAACATGCAGTGAGTGTTGTCAGAAGTGTAAAAGGCTTAAAGTGTTTGATTTGTTTCAATTTAACATTTTAAAACATTAGCGATTTCTTGGTGCCGCATTGTAAAAGAAGTTTTCCACTGTTAAGACTTTGTATTAGCCAACACAAACTTAGTTAAAGTTAGAGCAGCTTTTCTTTTAATTTATTGTATAATAATACAATTATAAGCAATTCATATATTTTTCATTTGTTTTTTCCCCCCCAAAAAAATTGGCATTCGGTTGTGGAAATACTTCAGCATTCTTGAGTTGCGTAAAATTGAGCCAGAGATCATTGTAGGACTGAGCAGAAGATCAGCTGTGCCATCCCTTTATGATTTCAGTATTTTACTGAATAATTGTCCAAACAACGAAAGGGTCACAAATTAGGGCACAAACAGATTTTATTTAATTAAAAAATGAGGGAAGTCAGATCCCTCTTCCGTGGAACCAGGTCCCACTTTTGGTTCAGGAGACAGGCACCCTCTCATCTTCAAAAAAAGGCTTAAAACTTTCCTTTTTGCTAAAGCATATATTTAGGGCTGGATCTGGTGACACTGAAGCTCCCCCTGCTGGGGACATCAAGAAGCACTGTGTGTTTATAGAGCAGTCTGTGTTTAATCATTAGTTATTATTCATCTCTGGCTCTCTTCCACTCTGTCTTTTATCCTATTTTTTATCCTAATTATATTATGGCTGGCCCTCCCTGAGTGTCCCAGAGGCTTTTTTCTGTTAAAGGGGAGTTTTTCCTACCCACCACTGCCAAGGCTCATGAGGTGCTGTTTGATTGTTGGAGTCTGTTATTGTCTATTATTGAACAGTGTTAAACTTGCAGTAAAAGTTGCCTTGAGGGAACTATTGTTGCTGTTTGCTGCTATATAAATTGAACTGAAACTGAATTTGTCCAGAGTCTGTTGCTATCTGGGCAACTAATCTCACAACTGTCTGCGTCTGATCTGTTTCTCCAGATGTTTATCTTCAGTTGTTGTGACCTACACTTGGCCCTGTCAGGGGCACAGCTCAATAATTAGATTTAAAAACTAAATGCAAAATTAGTGCATCTAATGGAAATTCACATTACAAAACATTTTATATTTTATGCCACACTTGTATTTTGCCTGTAACAAAATAACAAGCCGATTAAAACGACTCTCCTATTTTTTCTCTCCTGTTTTGTGAGTTAAATATCATGGTCAGCACGGACACAAACATACAATTCCTCCATCCACTGGAAACGGGGTCTCAGAGTTGCTGATCTCAGAGTTAATCAACTCAAGAGTTTACTTTCAAACTCAAAATTTCTTGTACATGCTTCCAGGAATAGAGGACTCAAGTGCACAAGAGTGAAAGTTTAACACGTTTATTGAAGTCACAGAGTCAGACGTGGTTGAACTGGTTGAGGCACCAAACGACATTCCTACAGTAAGTGCAATGATCTTTTGACTACCAAGAGGCTTGAGTATCAGGTGACACACCTGCATGCCAAGCTGAGACATGTTAAGCCTTTAAGAAAGTTTGTTTGACGTCTATTGGGGTGTTGTCATCGGCATTTTTAAATATTCAACCAAAGAAATGGTAAAACCTAAGTTCAACTTTACACTTTTTTTGTTTGTTGTTGTTGTTTGTATGTGTTTCTGAACTCATAAACAACTGTTTTTGTTTTGTTTTTTATGACATACTTGTTCTTCACAGACACCCACTACAAATAGATGATTTATAGAATAGGATACTGGGGATTACACAAAATATAAAGCGTGTATTCATCAATCTCACACTGAAAAGGGAGTGTTAAAGGGGGAAAGGGGGAGGAAACGGGATCTTAAACAACTTGTTTCAGACACTAGATCAGCAGTTGCTGATAATGTCACTGTCTAACACAAAAGCTGCCCTAAGGCTACCTCACTACCTCAGAATATACATTCACACGTCTCTGAAAACTGTTTATATGTCTGTTTGGTTTTATATGTCAAACTTAGAAACAAAATAGTGACAAATTTGATTGTGAGTGATATACTATTTGTGAGTAGCTTTCGCACATGAACGCCTCTAAAGCAGAGAACGGTTTTTTACCACCTTTATCGAGCAACGTGAATGCAGCTTAGCAGTAGCTAGCTAGTCGGCCAAGATGTTAGCATGCACAATGAGTTTCGATTTAAGATTTTCTACTAAATTGGACTTTTTTAACAGTGTTAAGATTCCCTAATACAAGTGCCGCCCCGATTAATCGCTGTAACTCTTTATATTGACCGACTAATGTCATTATTATTACTTCATAATATTTCTGCTGTTAGTTTCGAATGCTAGCCAGCATAGCGCCGTTGCTAGCCATCATAAGTATCTGTCATGCTTATATCCTGCCGGACAGAGATGTTGAATGCAGGCTAAGACACACGCCCCACAACTGTAACTAAAGGGTTGTTATCGTAATAACAGGTAGATGGACAGCATTTTCACTTAGTTATTTCGTTCTAGGTTGTTGCTTCTTTTTCCACAGTATTTCGTAACAAAATAATTATTTTGAATATATGAATATAAAAGTTGCAATGCAATGACGAGGTACATTAGTGTAAAGTAGTCGTTTCTTAGTGGATGTTTTGTTCTTGTTCTCCGAAGGCTCAAAAGCACTTTCGCTGTACTAAATGACACACTGTAAACCCTGTAGTTTTACATTTGATTAGATAATGTTATAAACATGTCATTTCTGCTCTTATTAAAGAGAGCTCTGAGGACATACAGATATACTGTCTGCTTGACACTACTTGTCTAACTGCACGGGCGGTTGGAGACCTCTGTTTCAGGTAGCTGGGTAATTATCATATATCACAAGACTGGGACAAAAGTCACATGGACTCTCATAACTATTTTACTTCTGCTGAGGTAAACTAGTTAAGACTTGTTACTCTTCGTGGTTTATTGTGATGCACTGAGAAGATCGAAGCACACTGATCACTGTAAGGTATGTTCTCACTGACAGACTATACATATATATACTATTCTGTGTCAGTAAAATAGCCCCGCATTTTTGCCTATATTAAAAGCTATCCAGCCTCTAATTTCCAATATATTTCATGTTAAATTGGAGCTGTTTTAATTGTCCTTAGTTTGATATTTCATGTTAAACATATCAAGAGTTTCAGATAATGAGGTCAGTGTATGTACGAGTAATCCCTGTGTGTTTCAGACTGCTCTGTTTCACCTTTTATTGCTCTTTGCTCAGCATGATGTCATTAAGGTAATATCGCCCGTATATATTCAG